CAGTCAGGTTCACCTCTCAAGCCACCTCGTGACGTTCCTGCTGCACGCGATGATGACCTGTAGGATCTTATAGAGACCGTCAGGTGATTGTGCTCCCAAATGAGCACAATGAGTTCTGCCATTAATCGGTTGCAATTGAGCCGTGGTTTCAACAACCGCAGTTGCTCTAAGTCAAAGGAGCGTTCGGCCGACACGAAAGGTCCAGTAAAAATCCGTATTAGGAAGAGCTGAGGATGTGATTAATTATGCAAAATCTGCACTTTTTATGGCAAATGGTTTTGCCAAGAATTTAGTAATAGAAGGTGTGTGATGAACACGGCTAAAGATATAAATATCAGAGCGGAGATTAGATTTATAAACTGAAATTATAATAGCGATTTTCCAATAATCAGGAAATAAATCATCATTGAGAAAAACTGAGGATTATTTGCTGAGTAAAATTTTTCTGCCCTTTGGGAGGTCAGAAGAGGACTCAGGCACATCCTTTATAACAGTGCATGCACTGCGACAAGTATGAGGGGCTTGTTGTTTATTTTTTATGTGCAGACACTTAATAATAGATATCCCGGTTAGTATTTGCTCAGGAAAGGTTGTTGTAATGCATACGAGTAATGCATATTTTACGCATACGAAGGCTTCTTGGTCAGTCGTAATCTTCGGTATTACGGATTTTGCTCACAACCTACGTAACTTTTTTTCCATAACCTGGCCTTCTTTATAGTTTCAGAATACTCTGCGACATATTCTATTCTGTCAGAAACGTTCTAGCTGCTTTTAATCGCGGCAGATACTGTTTCTCAGTTCCAAAGCATATGCATTGATTTCACCGTTGCACTATTCACTTCACGCCCATATAGGAAGGTTACTATATTGATTTCTGTTTAAACTCCACACTGTTTAGTTGGCGGTTTTAATTTTTTACGGGGTCCCGGATATATGAATCAAAAGTTTTTTTGAGACTCGAAATTTAATTTGGAAGTCAACTGTACTGGCGTTATAATCATCCGTGACCTTGAGCCTATTGTGTCAATCCAATTTTCATATCTTGTATTTTCACTGCTGCGCGCACGTGTTTTTCGCGGTAGACTGCTGCATTCTGAACGGTAATGGCACTATGCCGTACTGGATACTTTTGGAGCGCTTCAGCGAAGGTGACCACTTTTCCAAGAAAGATGCTTACCTGTTTCTTATGTTTTGCATTTAAATCACCGATTTTTAGAAATATTTCCGTAATTACATTTTACAATGACAATAGAAAGTCTGTGAAACATAGTTTAGGCGCTTTGCCGTGTGTAAAAGATTTTAACAAGACATATTTATGAGAAGTAACTTCTTAATGACTGAAAGGTTGAACATCCTGTAGATAAAATAACACATTAATATACAAGCATGTACGTATATGCATGGACATGTCCATGGGTTCGGCAAGCATCAAAAAACTTTTTTCATTAACAAATTGAAGCCTGTGTTTTCGGAGCCATTTTCAGGATGGCATTAGTTGCCTACTCGCTATTACTTAGAAAACGTCTAGCTCAAATATGACTTGTCATTTTTTTCATACAGTCAAATTAACTGTTTATTTTCATTACTGCTTGCATCCCATGCATTACAAATCCGACTGTGATCCAGTTGCCTATGATTATTTGACATCTAATAAGCCGAACATGATCACCTAATCACTCTTAAGGGTAACAGGCAGCGAAAGGGACAGTTGTTTGTGTCGGCGATCATTTAAGCATTATTATGTTCGCTTAACGTTTTACTCTTGCTGGATTCGAGCCTATAAATACGAATGACTGACTTTTTTAGAGACTAGAAAAACATCCAAGTGAATGGGTACAGGCAGTTTTAGAACTCGTTGTGCAGGATGAAAAAGGGATTTTAATTGTGCATCCAAATGATCCTGTCTACGAATCCGTTGATGAGGAGGATCGAACGCTAAAATGTTCACTAGAAATGTACAGGCGCTGTGTAAAACTGCGAAGAAATAGGTCTTCATCAAAAGATACGTCAACTCAATCCGCCAAATCTTCGCCAAAGTACCAACTGCTTCTTCAAAAGCGGTTACTACTTAAAGGCCATCAACTGAAGATCGGATTTGACGACCAAACGTCTCAACAAAAATTTTACGAACAATTGAAGATCATTCTTAGAGGCTCAAAAGGGGACAGGAAGTTTAAAAAACCCAGCAGACATAGAACAACCCAAAAGAAATGCTCGCGCGATGCCCAACGATGTCCCGAAAGAGAAGAAGAAAATGCAGTTAAGGACATTGACAACTTTATGACGGATAATCAGATCTATGAGGCCCACACAAGCGGAGGTTTGTTCGTTTATCTAACTACTGTTTGTAACACCTAACATATCATTAAATGATATAATTTGTATGAGGATTTTTTTATAAGCACGGATAACAGTTTGTTAATGTTGCATATCACTTGGATGTGAGAAATAACGTAGTGAAACAACGCTAGTTTGATGATCCTTATATAATTAGCTTCAACCACGACATTTTACCTAATATTATTTTATTCTTTGAAAAAATGGATTTAATCGGCATTGCAATCCAATTCGGAAGTACATAAAAAGGTTAACATTCAAACAGTGATATCCGAAATAATTGCTGAATTTTGTCTGCAAATATAAGTATAAGCGAACGGGTCATGCATTAGTTCACCATGAATAATGATAGTTATATTTAACAAATTTTTAAACTTAACCCGTTAACACTGAATAATAAAACCAATCAAGCGAAATAAACTATACGCCGGAGGAGAGTGCGCGTCTGTTAAAATGGTTTTATGTTTTAAAAATAATAGGAGGAGCTTAATAATTATTGTGCAATGGTGCAGAAGAGACTGTTCATGCATCTTTTTAGGGTGCAAAATGTTTTCAGGGTATAATATATCATCTGAAAACTATCTAATTTGGATGGTTAACAATTACTTGACAAAATCAGAACGCGTTTTTTGGAGGAACGGAATAATAAAAAAAAACAGATTTTGAAAATTCATCATATGTCAGAGAATTTCGAAATATTATGTTTGTTGTGTTCCCTAGAAATGTTCAGAAGTTTGCCCAGTATATTAAAATAAGACGTTTTCGAAAGTTCAATGTTTATTGTGTCTAAGTTCCAGTCTGGAGTCAAGAACGTATTTCTGCGAAAAGCAACCGACTTCTAAAACTTACCCCACCACAGGTTATGCTCTGTGAAATTTCGGATTTAAAAATCCGATAAGTGATGTGCATGATCACGATTAGTTAACTCTTTTATTGATACATAATCCATAGATTACGTTTGGCACTATCAACCGAAAAAGCTAAACAGTAGGATACTGGCTGTGCTTACACACAAATTTACAAAAACATTACTCTAATTAATTCAGAGTTAAGGATTTTTCTAAGAGAAATGATAGTGAGATTTATAAGCACGACAACAGAATATACTTCTCGTTTTCAAGGGAGAATAATATCAGAGGTGTTATGATTTCCATCTATCATTTTCTGTCATTGTAAAATCGACTACTCCGCTATAAACACTCTATGCTCTGTCGCAAAATATCGACATTCACTGTTTGCCTCTTAGCTGTGAAAGTGAGGGTCATACCCACTGATCTATCTTCGCGACTGAAGATAAGTGGGATCTACTTGCTGGAGGTCAGGGGACTTGACATCCTGCTGCTCGACTACATTAACCTTATGCTCATGCATAAATGGAGTTTTCGGTCTGTACGAAGGTAAGTCTCAAGAATTATTGGTTTACGTTTCTGTCGCCTGTAATCAGGCAGTTCTTAATCAGTCTTAACTTCCTTCTGCTGCCCTCATAAAATAAAGGTACAGGGATAGAAACCCACATTATAAAATTAGCCCGACGTTAAAATACAGAGCTGTACCTACTCCTGTGCCTTGGTTCTTACCCCAAAAATAACATTAACTCGAACCTTTTACATAATCTCAGCCATAACATTAGAACTAATTTGA